ACTGGTGGCTTGACCTCCAAGCTGACGTCTCAAAAATTCAGTAACTATTCTGTAGCCACCAGTTATCATTCCAAAATGCTATACTGGTATGTCACTTCACCAATTTTATTACCCATAAAATAAAATGCAAACTCCTTATATGGTTCCTACTGTCAAAAAGCTGTGGAAAATTAACCAAATCCCAAAAACAAAGCTAAAAGTGTGTTCCTGTTGACCTTTCTAATGTGTTTCTAGCTATCCCACTGCTTGCTGCATTGTACCAAGCACTCCCAGACATTCACATACCTACTTCTTTGCTTGAGAGACTTTCCCTCTCACTTCAACCTTTATCTGTCTAGTTCCACCTCAAACTTTCAATTCTATTTTCTCTCAGAGGCCTTTCCTGACTTCCTAGACTAGGATTGGTCTGTCTGCTATGAGCTTCCCTGATATCACATCCATTGTTCTTTGTTATTTTATCTATATACTCAAAAAGTAGGGCTCTGTCTATTCACTGTTATGGCTTCAATACACAGAGTCTCAAAATTCTGCAGGCATTAAAATGCTGATGTTGAATAAAGGAAAAGAAATATAAGTACATAATAAAAAGAAACACAAAAATAAAAACACCGGGCTCAGTGGCTCAGCCTGTAATCCCACGCCTTTGGGAGGCTGAGGTGAGTGGATTGCCTGAGCCCGTGGGTTTGAGACCCACCTGGGCAACTTGGCAAGACCTCATCTCTACAATAAATCAAAAATTAGCCGGGCGTGGTAGCGCGTGCCTGTAGTTCCAGCTACTTGAAGGCTGAGGTGGAAGGATTGCTGGAGCCCAGCAGGCAAGGCTACGGTGGCCAGGAGCGGCCACTGCACTCCAGTCTGGGCGACAGAGTGAGATTCCAACTCAACAACAACAACAAAAAATAAATAAATAATAAAAACAAACCATTAAAAATAGGAGATGTGCTCCTTCATCTGGAATGATCTAGACAAGAAGTTCCTACAGATTTTCATTGACGTTAGAAAGCAACACTTCATGGCTTTCATAGGTAAGAATGAAACAAACACCTTAAGTAATACTGGAAGTGGTTACAATAGAAGACATAGTGTGATTTAATGACTTTTGTGTCTTTTATATAGTTTCTAGGCCAGAAAGGTAGACAGGGAATTTTATTACTCCTGTAGACATCTGTGTCCTATATAAAAGAGTATTATTGAAAAAGCTAGCCTAAAGGGAGGATGGATAAATAAGACATTTATCAAAAAGTCGGAGTATAACATATACGTACATGCACAAGGATCACATTTACATAGATACTATAAAATACTCAAAATCATTACCATTAAACAAACACACAGAAAAGAAGCCACTGAAAGATGACCTCAGTACATGCTCAGTTATGTTAAAAAATTTTTTCCAAAAAAAAAGAAAAAAAGAGCAGCTGGCCTTACAATAATGAGAAAAAGGTATTGATGACTGCCTCTAAAAAAAGAGTGTCTGAAATGCTCATTCAAGGCTGGTATTCATTCTTTATTCAGAGCCTGGTTGTGAGGCTTGAAAAGCACCAGGGATCACGGATGCATTCTAGAGCCAAGTCATGGGGAACATAAACAAATTTGTTCTTAGTACAGAAATGAATAAAGCAGATAAAAAACAGTTGGTATTACAAGGCTCCTATGCATTCTGTTAGGCTTCAGTATGAAGATTTTAATGAATTATAAGTTATATGGCACCACTTAAAGATACCCTAATTTGATATTACATTTCATTAGTTCAATGCACAAAGCCACCTTTAAATTCTGATACTGCATGATTAATATCTTGCATTAGTTTATTTGCATTTTTAACTAAGTGGATATTACAGAGATAATTAATTCTAAAAATAATTCTTTAACTGTTTAGGAGCTTTAAATAATTTATTTTATACTAGCTTCAGTTTAGGAAACCGGTTTTTTAAAAAAAGCTGGAGTCAAGATAAATGTAGTGGAGTGAAAATGAAGAAATAAACAGCAGCAGTATGTTTACTAAGGGCAAAGTTAAAGCTGGGTTTTGAGAACTTCCGTTAAACTAAAGCACTTGCTCAGTTTTGCTCTCTGCCTTAAGAAATGACTTCAGAAACAATTTTCACCTTTCGGCTACAAGAGTCATTTCTATCCTTTCAATGTATTAAAATACATACAGAGTTTTGATGAAATTAGGATTCGTTTTACATCAACTGTGTTACTGAGATTAGTGGAGAAAAATGTTTAAACAGGAGCAGTGCTTAGGAAGAAATAATTTTAAGAGCCCCAGTGGACAGAACAGAAAGAGGGATATTTCTGAACCTGTTTGTGATAAGAGATATTGTGAGTTGTCTATTTAAGACAACGTCCTAGCTGTCTTGTGAATAATTTATTTGGCAAACTCAAATACTGTGATGTAAAACGGTATGATTGTCACTTGAGGAAAGCCTATAATAAAAGAATCAGAGACATTCAAAAGGAATACGGACTCCAGTTGTGGCAATCAGAGAAGACTTCATGAAAATACAGATGTGAGGTGGCTGTTAACAAAAGGGCAGGGCTCCCGCCTGGGCAACTTGACAAGACCTCATCTCTACAATAAACAAAAAATTAGCTGGGCATGGTAGCACGGGCCTGTAGTTCCAGCTACTTGGAAGGCTGAGGTGGAAGGATCGCTGGAGCCCAGCAGGTCGAGGCTGCGGTGGCCAGGAGCGGCCACTGCACTCTAGTCTAGGCGACAGAGTGAGAGACTCCAACTCAAAAAACCCCCAACCCCCTCCCAAAAAAAAAATACAAAAGGGCAGGGCTTTCTAAAAGTGGAACCAGAGGAAGGTGTCTCATTATTTACAGAATATAAAAACGCTTTGGAAGTCATCTCGTTTGTCCAGGCTGATGACAAGTTATGAAAAGCAGGGGTGGTAGCTTAAAATGCCTTACAAATCTGAAGCTTATGAATGCGTTTTACTTAAGAAAAGATACAGAAAAACTCCCTTCCTTCACAGTGACTGCATTTCATCCCAAACACCACTACTGCTACGTATTTCCCTCTGTTCATTCTGACCATTATGAGGGAGGAGAAAACGAAGAAACAGTGCCACAAAGTCCAAACGAATTGAAAGCTTTAGGGGAGTAGGATAACCACAGAATGCAGACAAAATAGACTAAGGGCTACAAAGCTTCCGTGGGATTGGTAACATGGAGGTAAGTGGGTGACTTCGACCAAAACAAGTGAAGCCAATTGTTCCGCCACGGCATACAACTCATTTTTCTCTGAGTCTACTCTTCTGCATGGCATTGTTGAACAGTAAAATAATTCAAGAAGAAGAAGATAGTCATTACCAAGTAACTTTCATTCTTCTTAGGGTATTAAAACTAAATACTGAATAAGCTGTTCCAAAATTCCCTCAGCAAGTTAAGCTGAATATTTAGACTTAAAGGTTATTTTAATTTTAAAACGGACACTACATATCTGGCTTCTTCAGTCTGTAGAACTTTTGTATTTTCTAGAAATGTTCTTTTAAAAAGACCTATCGTAACTATTGTGTTTTCATATGACTGGGTTATACTGATTAACATGCCTACTTCTATTATTAAGAAATCTGGCAATCCCTTCGGGTCCCCTCCCACTGTGGGAGTTTTTCTGTCCTCTCAATAAATAAACACTGCTTTCTCAAAAAAGAAAGAAAGAAAGACAGGAAGGAAGGAAGGAAGGAAGAAAGAAAAAAGAAAGAAATCTTCACCAGTTTCCTTTTGTATCATCCTTAACTGCTTCAGCACCAGTACCCTTATTTATGTTCATCTGGCCACAGTTGAGCTTTATAAAAAATATATACTAATTGCTACCTTTTGACCATAAGTACACTCAGGAAGACAGACTTTAAACTGCACCATATTTTGAGATAAATTTGACAATACACATTTTCATGAGGTTGGAAGGGAACCTCAAATGGCTATCTAATCTCTTGTCCTAAACTGCTACCCAAAGGAACAGATCAAATTTTTTGTTTATTAAAATCAACAGGAAATGTTTAAGTCAAAACGAAATTGCTACAATCAAACTTTCTTCAATATTCCCACCTACAAAGATTACAGGTCATGAGTAGTCTGCCTAAATAACCCCCAAATTATCAAGTTTCCAAGTGACCTCATGTAGTAACTATTGTCACAATAATGTTGCATAAAATAACCCACCCCAAAACTCAGGTGTTAGACAACAAGCATTTACTTTTGCACATAAATTTATGGGTCATTGACTGGGCTGGGCTAGGTTAATCTCAGCCAGGCTTTGTTCATATGCCTGCATTCAGCCAGCAGTAAAATTTGGGCTTGGCTGGTCTCAGACAGCCCACCTGGGATGCCTCTCCTCCGTAAGATTTCTGATCTTCAGCAAGCTAGTCTGGGCTTGTTTCCTTGGCAGAGGCAAGTTTGCAAGAGCAAGAGAGAATCGATGCTTCTTCTTGAGGTCTAGGCATAGAACTGGCTCAATGTCATTTTTGCCACATGCTAATTGGCAAATCAAGTTTCAGGGACACCCAGGTTCAAAAACATAAGAACAGAACCTACCCCTTGATAGAAAGAAATGGAAAATTAGTAGATACAGGCAAGGCTGGAGATTGTAGTCACTTTCACCATCAAGTCACCCCAAACCTCATTTGGTCTTTTCTTTAAGTAATCTGATATTAATGGTGCTTCCCCCTACTTGAATTGGACTGTATGAACATTAACTCATCTTATCATTGCAAAACATACATTCAAAAACAGTTAAACTGAAATCAAGGTATGCTAAAATTAGATGACAAGTTGAGGTTTTAAGACCACAAGCAGTTGAGAAATACAGATTTTGTGACTTCAGAATAAAATGACATAAAAGCTATCTTACATACCAGACAAAATGGATTAATACAATTAAGAGAAATTATATAACTTAAGTTTTTTTTTTAATTTTGTTTACTATTTATGTATTTAGAGTCTATAGCATTTGCTAAGCTATCAGAAAAATTTTATTCAAAGAGCAACACCCATGAACTTTTAAAATGAACCATTTATTAAATCAGACTTATTATTAACAGTTATGTAAGTTACATGTATGTTTAAGTCAGTATTTCACATGGAAAATTTTTAAACTCCTATAGGCAAGCAAAATTTTATCACACAATATATAAGTAGGAAGGGAGGGGAGTACTGCTAAACATTCAAATAAGGCAAGTATTTAAAAATAATAAAACAATAATTAAAAAAATTCAAGCATTCCTTTAAGAGAATTCAATACTACAAGCTAAATGACTTTCTGAGTGTATCCATATTATCAAGGCAGTGCTTCTCCTATCAAAATACCATAAAATGGAATAAGGCTCATTAATAGACACAGCTGCCCTCA